TAGCCTTCAATTCACGATCACTCTCCGGAATTGCGGACAGCACATTTACGTTGTTTGAAGACCATTTTCGTAAATTGAATCCGGCTATGCTGAATACCTTGCGCAAGTCGCTATACAATTGTATTGCTTCTGCCTCAGTAAAAGCACCTTTTACCACATCGTCAACCCACATGTTTTTTCTTATGGTATTTGATACTTCTGGATATTCATTTTCGCAATCGATTGCAAGTTGTCTTGTAGTGCGATGTGATAAAAACGGAGCGAGACTGGTGCCGTATGTGACCGTGATAAGTCTAAATTCAGAAAGCGGTAGTTCAGGGGAATCACGCCAAATGATTTTTTGCAAGTCTCTTTGGCTTTCGTCGATTAAAATTTGGCGGTACATTTTCTCAATGTCAGCCGTAAATGCATATTTGTAAATGCGAAAATTGATTAGAATGCTTAACATGTCCTTTTGTTCTATGGCACCCAATGCAAGTTCACCATTGAGAGATTTTCCGTTGTCAGTTTTTTGAGAGCCATTGAACACTACCCGAAGTTTCGTAGTTGTGCTATCTCGTATTACACAATGATGTGGTAAATAATACGATGTGATATTTGGATTGTAAACCGATCTTTCCATATGACCTAGGTCAATGTACTCGTGAATGAATTTTTTATATTCTTCTGCCAATTTAGGATTTTTTTTGAATCGATTTTCAAGCTGCAAAAATGTTGCAATGGCGCATTTTCGCGAGTTTCCTAAATCTGGTGCATTTTTTCCATTTTTGAATGGCATTTTGACACAATATCTTCCATTTTCCAAACGAATAGTGTTTTCTTGAAAGTGGTTTTCACACATTTGTTCTTCTTCAGTGAGAGCGCACTCGTCATCGTCGATTTTTATATCGTCATGCTTGAAAAATTCAGATATGCGTTGTTCGACGTCGACAACTGAAATGAGCGTTGTTACTTGTGCTCCCACGGCTGAATCAAAATTGGTTGGTCCCGAAATGATCCAACCCAATTCAGAGTTTTGGGCGATCGGTTCGTCTGTAGAACCTTTTATGAGACCCGGTTTTATGATTTGTGCGTATTCAGCTGCGCCGAGAAGAATGTCTATCGGACCAGCTTCAATGTATGAAGGATCAGCGAAATGAAGATTGTTCAAATGTGAGAATGATTTGTTAAAAACATTTTCATTTCGTGATAAATTTACCAAACTTTTTAATACAATTGCAGTTGTATTCAAAACAAAATTTGAAGTGAATCGAGGCGAAATGTGCAAGTCAACAATGTAATTGCACACCTGATTTTCTTTTGTTATTCCACTTACACAAGTTTTTTGTTTTATTCTTTTTAGTTTGAGCAATTGCATTGCTGATTCGGTGATGAACGCGCTCTGCGATCCTTGATCGATCAGAGCACGAAGTGCATATTTTTCGTTATTTTTACCTTTCA